GCATCGGGCTCCCTGCTCGGCAGGGAGCCTGCTTCTGCCTCTGACCCTTCCCCCTCTCATGTGCTCTCTCTCTCTCGTTCTCTCTGTCTCAAATAAATAAATTAATTAAAAAAAAAATCTTTAAAAAAAAAAAAAGAAAAAGAAAAATATACACGTGACTTAAGCAGGTACTTCACAAAATAGTATATCCAAATGAGCAACAACAACAGTAACAACAAATTATGACAGGGTTTTCAACTTCATCAGCCATCAGGGAAATGCAAATTAAAGCCGTAACTAAATATCACGACACACTTACCAGAGAAGGCAAAGTTAATAAGACTGACAATACCAAATACTGACAAAGAATTGGGAGCAACCAAAATCTCATATACAACTGAGGGGGGCTTAAATTAATACAACTATTTGGAAGACAGTATAACAGTTATCTACCAAAGTAGAATATGCACATAACCCTTTGATCCAATAATTAGGTATATCACAATTAGAAATGTGTTGGTAAGTCCACGAATATTCCTAGCAGCACTATTCATAAGAGAGCACAGCTGGAAGCAACATAAATGTCCACCAACAGTAGAATGGCTAGATAAGGAAATTGTAGTATGTTTATTCAGTGGACTATTATACAACCAGCATAAGTGAACAAAGTGCTGCCACATGCAACAACATGAGTGAATTTCATGAACATAAGATTGAACAAAAGAAACAAACTAAATTCAAGAATGCATATTGCCTGCTGTCAAAACTCAGAAATAGTGTTAAAAGTCAGGATAGTGGTTACATCTGGGTGGGAGAGAGGGTGTAGACCTAGAGAGAAGAAACAAAGGGGGCTCTGGAATGCTGGGAGCTTCTTGCACTGCATGATGTACACTTAGGAGTTGTGTGTGTTTGGGTAGGTATGTTATGCTTATGCTTCAGTAAAAATTTCTGGACACTGTACAAAAAAAAGCTGTTTATCAAACTTTCATGTGTTTTAGATTTTTTTTCTCAATGTACACATGTTCTACCCTGAGAAAAGATCAATTACATTTAAAGCATCATCAGAAACGTTCCTCTGCAACCACAGCTTACCTAATTTACTCTGTTCTTTCTCCCTCCCTTGTAGCTCATCAGTGAGCCTTCGGATCTCTTCCTGGGCCATCCTTCACCTCTCCGCTGCTTGTTCCGCATTTCTCTCCAGGCAGTTTTGTGAAGTTTTATCTTTTTCCAGGTCTTCATTACGGGACTGAAATAAAACTATTATTAGTAATAAAACAAAAATTAAATGTACTCTTATAACACTGCACTATTTCCTACAAGCATTTGAAAGCTAACAAAGAAAAGCAGCAAACAATATTTCATTTGTATGTATTTCTTTTATTAAATGAAACCATAGGGCGCCTGGGTGGCTCAGTCGGTTGGGCGACTGCCTTCAGCTCAGGTCATGATCCTGGAGTCCCAGGATCGAGTCCCGCATCGGGCTCTCTGCTCAGTGGGGAGTCTGCTTCTCCCTCTGACCCTCCCCCCTCTCATGCTCTCTCTCTCTCTCAAATAAATAAATAAATCTTTAAAATAAATAAATAAATAAATAAATAAAACCATATAAAATTGGTGATACTTGGTTTTTTTACCTATGAACATACAACTTCATATAGTTCAACCTAATATATCTAAGAGTTTATGGTTATACGATTATAAAAAATAGAAATTTTATCATAAAAATGAGTATCGTCTGACAAAAAAGAGAGAAAAAAACTCCTCCTGTATATGGTCCATTAAATACTGTTTATAAAATGCTTTCACATAGAGTATTTCATTTAATATCAGGATATGCACACACTCAAATCATATTTACAGATCCTTTTCTGCAATTATTTTCAAAGCATTTTAAAAGCTAAGAAATTCAGTCTCCATTATACCTTGCTTTTGATCCCCAAAATATGTATTCATTTATATAATCATCATACAAATATTTCTAAAAGATAAGAAGACAACCAAAATATCATCTGTATAACAAAACCACTTCTAGTATATTGGTATATATCCTTGCAGTATTTTTTATTTATATACATTTTTACATAGTCATAATCCCAATCTACGTACATTTCTGTCTTTTTCATTTAACATTATATGAGAAACATTTCCCAAAAAAACTGTACAAATTTTGTAATGATAATTTTTTTAAAGGCTATATAGTGTTCCATAGTGGGTGTAATATGATTTATATAATCATTTAAACATTTGGTAGTTTCTAATTTTTGCTATTTAAAATAATACTATGATAAACAGTTTCATCCATATACATTTATCTTGGGTTACTTCCTGCGGTTAAATTCCTAGCATATACTTTATTTACTGGATTTAGCACTTAACAACATTTCCCCAGATCAAAAAATTTAATTCCATGAAGAGAATTGATTATACTTAAAATAATGTGCTATATATATTAAAGGACTACCCCCCAAAAAGGGCTCCAAACGTATTTGGGAAGGATTATCCCAAAGTGATTTTTCAAAGGTCATAACACACATTGATTGTTTAAATTTTGACGCATTCAATAATAATCAGCTATTAATTTTTTCTTCTCAAATCTTTGTGATGTATTTATAATACTTTTATGCACAATTTTATAATCTTCACAGCATCAATCTATATTTTAATATATTCAAACAAAATACTTGGTAAAAGCTAATGTGTAATTAGCTGCTATTATTAAGTGAAGGATTTTTTTTTTTTTTTTTTTTTTTACCTCACTCAGATTTTTTTCAGATTGCTGCACAGGTTCCTGATATTTCTCATGTTCTCTTTGCAGAGGCTGGTGGATTTGTTCAAGTTTCTCCTAAATAAATAATGAGATAAGTGAAACTTACATCAGTCCGGCTTCATAAATTAAAATGTCATTTAAATTTTTTTAAAAAGCAAAAAACAAAAAAAAGGAGCACAGTCCAATCCATTTCATCAAGTTAGGCCATGCATTTTCAATGAGACAATATCACCCCAAAGGGAGTGAAAATTGGTTCCTATGGGGGCAAAAAAATCTTACTCTTTTTATGTACAAAGCATGATATGCCTACACTATGTAGAACTCTACAGTAGTGTTAAAATTTCACAGGAGAGTGATTAGGAAAATTATCTAAAAAAGTCTTACTCTAGAGGCAATAATGAAAAACAATTGGCTAACACTGGCTAGCCAAACCTTGAGATTAAAACCCAATAAAGATAATAGGAGAAAGAAAAATCACAGGGCAATCTTCTTATTCATAAATATAGATACAAAATCCTAAACAAAATTTTATGAAATCTAATCTAATAATATCTAGAAAGGACAACATATCATGAATAAGTTGGATTTATCCCAGCAATGCAAGATAGATTTAATATTAGAAAAATAAATCAACGAAATTCTCCCATTAACAGATTCAAGTTCTAAATTATTTCATCATCAATGGCTACAAAAAAACATTTTCTAATATTCACCACTGGTTCCTAATAAAAACTCTTAGCAAATTAGGAATAAGAGTGTAAATAATAAATAATAAATAAAGACTACCATCTGAAATAAAAGCTTCAGCAAACATCATACGTAATAGTGATTCACTGAATGCTTTCTCCAATATTAATAACAAGATGATAATACTAGATAATACTAATAATAATACTAATTTCAAGATAATAGTAAAGAGCCTAGCCAGTATAAGGCAGGAAAAAGAATTGAAAGGAATAAGGACTGAAAAGGAAGAAACAAAAGTTCATTATTCTCAGATAATGTGATTGTACAGGTAGAAAATATTTGAAATCTTAAAAAAAATTATTAAAATGAATAAGAGGGATGCCCGGCTGGCTCAGTCAGTGGAGCACATGCCTCTTGACCTCAGGGTTGTGAGTTCAAGCCCCACATTCAGTGTGGAGCCTACTTAAAAAAATAAATAAATAGGGGCGCCTGGGTGGCCCAGTCGTTAAGTGTCTGCCTTCAGCTCAGGTCATGATCCCAGTGTCCTGGGATCGAGCCCCACATTGGGCTCCCTGCTCAGCGGGAGGCCTGCTTCTCCCTCTCCCAGTCCCCCTGCTTATGTTCCCTCTCTCGCTGTGTCTCTCTCTGTCAAATA